CGATGAACTTGGATAAAGTTTCGATCGATGCCTCCGTCGAGGTTAGTTACTTTTCACGTTCGTGGTGTAAGTATAAGCGAACAATGATATTGTTTTTCGCCGTGGAAACGGGTTAGTTAAGCTCTGCTATAGATCAGTAAAATTATATCAATTCGGATAGCTCAGGGTATGGTCATAGAACTATGGTATGATGGATACTTCAAAATAAGAAGAGAGAGAATATTAAAGTTTATTAGTTGTAATGCCATTATCATAAAACTGTTACTAGTATTACAGACTGTATCACCATTATTACAGGATATCCCGTCGAAAGGATATTTGTCAAGTTACAAACACGCACCCTTAAAGTGCACCGAAACCCAAAATTTTTTTTTCGCTTAACGAAATAAGCTTATTTTTTGGAGTATTTCTGTGCAAAAATTTTTTAATTTGCTGAAATCTTTAATTTTCTATGCCCAGTCAAAATACGGAAAATCGGCCGCCATCTTGCCCCACGACCGAGTTTAAAGAAGAATGGCTCTAGCGGGTAATGTGACATCAAATCGAGAACACGAAAGTCTGCATCTCACACATTTTCACTTGTTTGGGAAGATTGTCGTCGATATTGTCCGAAATATGCCGACTAGGTGTGTTGTATGAAGAATGTATGAAGCGCGATACCCTCTTGCAAATTTCGCACGTTGCTACATCCTTCTACAACACACTTAGTCGGCATATTTTCGGACAATTATCGACTACAACCTTCCCAAACAAGTGAAAATGTGTGAAATGCAGACTTTCGTGTTCTCGATTTGACGTCACATTACCCACTAGAGCCATTCCTCTTTAAACTCGGTCGTGGGGCAAGATGGCGGCCGATTTTCCGTATTTTGACTGGGCATAGAAAATTGAAGATTTGAGCAAATAAAAAAATTTTTTCGCAGAAATACTCAAAATAATAAGCTTACTTCGTTAAGCGAAAAAAATTTTTTGGGTGTAGGTGCACTTTAAGGTGGCTGAACACAGCTTTTGACAGTTGAGCATGTGTATCCTTTTGCAAATATTATTATTATTATGTCACCTACTATAGTAAGAGGTTGGAATTATTTTGTCACTCAACTGTAATGCAGTTAGAGTGACTCAAAATCTTACATTTTTTTCACAAGTAATCCAATAATAATTGTTTTATTAAAAACGTTATATTATTAAATTTTATTAAATGTTTAGCTCCCATTTAATTTTAAGCCGACACATACGATTACCATATTTATATTTTCAGAAACAACAATAAGGCCCATGTGGCTTGAACAAGTTTATTTTCATGATGAAACTGTCAAAACTGAAAGAACATAACAATGTAAATGCTAAAGAGCAAAAGAGGAAAAATATAAAGCTGGAAACAACAGAAAACTTACGCCTTTCCAGGCTCGAAGGACACCGTGTGGTCGAAACTACTTTTTTAAAAAAAACGCATGCTGGGAAGTAATGATGTAAACTGGAGTACAGGAATCGTCACGCAAATGTGACACAAAAGGCAAACGGGTGCTGTTACAGTCCACCTTTTTTTTTTAGTTTGAGTGGTAATGATAATGACTGATATCTAGTACATTAAAAAAAAGTAACTACAATATCATATAAAATGATAAACTAAATGTACTTGGACTAATAAAGTCAAATAGGAAATTTACCCCAATGTTAGGTAGCCACTTTTTCCAAAACCACTTTCTTAACTTTTCATTATCATTCCAGAATTTGCTGTTCTGAAGATTCCTAATCGCAGCAACAGAGTCTTCAATGGTAACAGCATGTGCAACTTTTCCGAGGAGGTCAAGAATGGTTTCTTTAATTGACACCACACCATTATCACTTTTAGAGGTCCACTCTAGCCACGCCTTTTCTCTGTGGAAGTCACAAAGCAATACCTTTGACCTTACAAAATAAAAGGGGCATAAAAAAGGTCATAATATTTATTGTAGTGTAAACTGAAAAGCCAGAAAGCATTGTTGCAGTTGAGAGGAATAATAATATTCTGTAATCATCATAGGCAGAGTGATTTCCTACATGGTTCTCAAGGGAATTAAGTCAACATACAATGATGCTCTTGTGATGTACATTTAATGTTAGTGAATGAAGATTACTGTTATATGAAAATATAATAAATGTTTATGCAAAATAAAATTACTGTTTACTATGTTTTCAAAGTTATAAAGGAAGTTCCATACAAAATGAAAATCTCTCTCTATTTTGGAAGGAAGAGACACTAGACTAGTTAAACTAGTCCTAAAACTAATATCTATTACTAACTTACATACAATAATAATGATAATAATAACAACATAGTTTATTTCGGACCACTTGCAGCCTAAGGCTGAATTACTGGTACAGTTTTAAAAATATACACACTGGAAACCTAAATAAATAAATACACAATACTTTACACAGGTTGATACTTAATGGTAACGAAATTTTTAAAACGCTCAGTTCTGACAAGTGTGCGGTGAGAAGATTTGCCTGATCACAGATACATTTGCGTTGTGCTGTGAAGTACCCGCTCATGAAAATGGGGGTATAAGGGATGGCCTGGGCGAATTTTACAAATAAACCGCTCGCATGCAGCTGCGTCGCGCGCTGACAAGGTCTCAATGGCAGCCTTTTCAAGCGTATGTTCCCATGGAAGGTCAGGCCATATAATAGAAAGAGCCCTTTTCTGGACGTCTTCCAGTGCGTTATCCAAGTACTCTGGCAAGTCAGCGAACACAGCTGACGCATACTCCAATATAAATCTTACAAGTGCACAGTATATGGCAATGATGAGGAATAATAATACAAAATAGATGTAAGATTACTAATAGTTAATAATTATAAAAATTTGTACAATAAATGTGATATAATCTGCATAAGATATCATTAAAAATAAAAATAGTCTTGATCACAAAAATTAACTGTTGAGGCAGATGTTACCTTAAAATAAAAATCTTTAAATTCAACGATCTTACTTAATCTTGAATCTATGCTCTTTCGTGTAGCATGAACAATGTCTGCATCCTTAGACATAATTGTATTTCAAAGAACAGCCCCTCTACAAGTTACTGAATGTTCTAAATAGCGAGATTGAAATCTTGGTATAACAATATTATCTGACCCCCTTAATGAATACTTCGCACCACTCGACCTCTTAACAATAATATTTTCAGACAGTTGTTCTGGTAGCAAATCATTGTATACACCGTGTACTACCTTAAACAGTTTGGTCTTATAAATATAATCTAAGGAGTGCCATTTAGCTACCTTCAGAGAGTCATCATGGGAGGTGTCTTTCTTTAAATTATGTTATATTAACTTTACAGCCTGCCCACGTTACAATACTATAAGTGACGCCAGGAAGAATAAAACTGAAATAAAATTGCTCCAATACACTTTTTTGTAAGAATCTTGACTTTCTTAATAAGTTAAGCTTATTTGCGAAACTCTTTTTAACATTCATCAAATGTGGTGACCATGTTAAACTTTCATCGACATTTACTCCTGATAAACGCGATCTCTTAACCCAATTAACATAAAAGTCTCCCATAGTAACAGGTAAAATAGGGCCTATGATACGTGTCTTAGATATCAGCATAGCTTCACTCCTTTTCGGATGAGGTGTAAGCCCATATTGGCAAGACACCAATCATATAATTCAGATAATGCCCTATTTAGTTGATAAGCTGCATGATCCCAGTTGTCACCCACACAATAAACAGTTGTATCATCCGCATACATAAATATTTCACCAGAATTCACAGAAGATGGTAAATCGTTAGTAAATAAGGTAAATAACGTCGATCCTAGTACCGATCTCTGTGGAATACCAACATGAACTGGTAATGTCTCGGATTTAACACCATTAACAACCGTAAACTGATGCCCATCGCTGAGATAACTATTCAGCCAATTCAGCAGAGATCCTGAAATTCCAAAGTTGTGACTGACAGTCTTGGGAAGGCTAACCTACTAAGTAATCAAATTAAGTCTGTCTTTACACAGAAACAAATTGATAATATACCATCACTTGGCCCTAGCCCTTATCCAGACATTCCATCTTCTGTGTTTGATGTATCAGGCATAATCAAACTACTGGCCAATATCAATTCTAACAAAGCTAATGGTCCTGACCTTATTCAGTGCTGGGTTTTAAAAGAAGCGGCTGCTGAAATTACACCTTTTCTCCAATTTCTCTACACCCAATCTGTAGCTACTGGTCAACTGCCCGCTGACTGGCAGAAAGCAAATATCACTCCTGTTTCCGAAAAAGGTGATAAACATCAACCTGCCAACTACCGACCAATTTCATTGACAGCTATGCCATGTAAAATACTAGAGCATATAATCTTTCATGATATTATGGCCCATCTAGACTCAATGAACATCCTTATTAAATCTCAACATGGCTTTCGAAGGAAACTCTCCTGTGAAACCCAGCTAGTCACAACAATAGAGGAAATTGGAAGAGCCCTTGACAATGGAAATCAATCAGATCTAATCATTATGGACTTCTCCAAGGCATTTGATACTGTCCCACATCAGAGATTAATTAGTAAACTTGACTATTATGGAATAAGGGGTAATCTCAAAAGCTGGATTACTACTTGGCTAACATGTGGAGAACAATCTGTTGTAATAGATGGACTATCTTCTCCTGCAGTCCATGCGTCATCTGGTGTTCCCCAGGGGACAGTCCTAGGTCCCCTAATGTTACTTCTCTATATAAATGATATTGGGGATAACTGCAATTCTGCTATACGATTATTTGCTGATGATACCATCCTCTATAGTATCATTGAGTCGACTCTAGACGCTGGTCAACTCCAACTTGATCTTTCTACAATTGAACAATGGGCAAAAAAATGGCTCATGCAATTTAACCCCAACAAATGTTTTGTTATGAGAGTTACCAGGAAATCTCATCCAATAATTTTCGATTACAAGCTAATGGGTCATACTTTGGAGTCTGCGTCACACTATCCATACCTTGAGGTGGA